GCATTAAACTGTTTTAAAGCTAAATGAGTCCCCAGCAGCCTATCGCCTCTGTTATGCTTGGGCTAATGAGGAAGAATTAGCCTGAGCAGCAATGGGTGTTTGTGACTGGCTGAGGGTGCCAGTTAAATGCTGTGACTAAAAGGATTTGTGTAATCTCTACCTTAGCCATGCCTCTAGTAAGGACGGAGCTGTGGGTACACAGATACTCTCACGCAGTGTTAAACTGCTTGGAAATGGTTTAGCACTGAATGTAGGGACTGTGTTGGGGCACACCAGGCACTATAACCAATTCCATGAGATGGTTATAGTGCCTAGAGAGCCCCTTTAATATAGAGTCCCCAAGCACTCTCAGCCTGGAAGCATGTATGCACTCCACAAGCCCTGTCCAGCAATTCATAGAACATGCTAATATTTCTTTCTTGCAAAACCTACCTGTAACCAAAAATGATGCTAAATATCTGTACACAATGTGTTACTATTTTATTTATTGTAACGCAGTGTGAGCAACTCAAAACAAAACAATCCTAAGAACTCGAGCCAAACCAGCTATCTTGATACAGAAACACATTCATCGCCACTCAAACAGGAGTCTGTGAGCCTGGTATCCATGACAAAGGTATTAATGGAAACAATATAGAGACTAACTAGTCAGTCTCAAACAATGGACGCACAGCTTTTGGATATCGATTGCTATTTTCAAGGTAACAAGCTGTCAAATAATAAATGTGTGTTCCCTTTAAAATGGTGGTGGAATGAGGAAATGGATGAGATATATTTGTGTGTGTACTTTGCAGTAATGATCAGAACTAGAAAATTGAGGATGGAATTCTCAGTTATTTGTGATCAGCTGTAAGTGTAAGACTTGCTACGTTGTATCTATATTGATTTCACTAATGACACTTTGGGTCATTCAATAAAGTGTGAATTGTCTGGATTTCAAAGTAAATTCAGAGACAATTTCACATTTAAACTAATATAGCTATACTGAAAAAAAATCCATATGAGCCATGTCTTCCGTCTGTATAGTTTGGGCTAAACATTGAAATATACTTTGAAGTAAGTTTGAATTCCCAAAAATTCGCAAATCTGAATGGCAGTGAATCGAAATCATAATAGCAGAAGTAATGTTAAAATAGCCAAACTTTAACTTTGGATTTGCTACAATTTGGACATTTTAGTAAATAAACCCTGACGTGTCAGTTTTAAAACACTATGCTTGCAAACCTTTCTGAACTTTTTTTTTTTTGCAATGGTAAATGGGGCGTCTATTGATTAAACATGTTGGTGTTTGCTAAGTTTGCTTTGGACTATTTGGGATAGTCATTGCACCCATTGTACAGCGCTTTGGAATTTGCTGGCGCTATATAAATAATAAAATAATAATAATAGTTTATATAGTGAATTAGTCAATTTTGTACTTTGTTTTTTATTCATTTTATTAACGTGCATCTGAGATCGGTTAGGGATTACAGCTGGGGTGTCCAGATCTAGACCCTGGCATTTCCCATGCTGCTTTTTCCAGACATAAGACTGACAAAGCATCATGGGACTTGTAGTTCTGGAATGGTCGTGGATCTATGATTTAGCAACTCTAATAGTTTGACCAAGTAGCAGATTTCCTCCGCCAAACATCTCTGGACTGTTTGTTGTGCTCCTGCGTACTCTGTCTATACTATTACTAGAGGTAGTATTTTTATAGCCTCTGTCGCTCATTTTTACTCTATATACCCTTTATGGTCACAGCTGTCTCCAAGCAGAAACCCCTCTATTTGACGTATGTCCTTCAACAGAAATAATTTTCTGGAGCTGAGCTTTTATCTGATTAAAGGCTATGATCTATGGATACTTAGGTAACGAACAACCTCCCACAGTTTGTCTTCAGTTTATTACTTAACTAAGGAATGTTCTTCAGACACACATATTCTCTTGGAATTTGACAATACTCTGGTATCTGTCCAATATAATGGGAATAGGATATTTGAAAACACTCACTGAGTTTTTTTTGCAGATATATTTTTTTTTTAGTTAATTATGATCATTTCTGAGATATTTGGTGACCCTAGCCCATATATCAGTTCACGGTTTTTAGATCAATTTAGATCAGGGACATTTACAATGCAGAACATATTGTGTGGCTTGGACTTGTGTGACTGACAGATCCATTGGGTTGGTTGCACCAATATTGCTGGCGTTCTGGAAGTTTTCAGTGGGGCCATTAATGGAAAAAGTTAATATTTTTCTTCATGTTTGTCCTTCGAACTGCAATATATTTTCACAAATAAGGTTTGGATTTAAATTGGCTGTGGACTTCTAATAATTTCACTAAATCTTTACTTCAGGCTTCCAAAATAAAAATGTTTTCAATAATTGCTGCTTTTTTCAACCAGAATCCCACGGTCTCTGTCTTATTCTTGTGTTCCTCTTTTCTGAGAGTTCCAATGTTTGGTGTTATCAATGTATTATATGACTGGACTGCCAGAAAACTGACTATAAAATAATTATCAGGAAATATGCATTTTTTTTTAACAACCTAAATATCTTCTGTGATGCCCCTTAAAGACTTGAGTGCTAGGGTCAGCCATTCATTTACACATTTTAAATTTCCTCTGTGGGGTTCTCTGCAAGTTTTGGCATAACTCTTTCAGTTCATTCGGTGAGGATACCAAACGCAAAAAAAACTGATAGGGAGATCTAGTTGCCTCGAGTTCTTTTTCCTGGGTGCCGCCATTTTCTTCCTCCCTTCTGGCATGCCATAGGCAGGTACCACACACAGCTTGATATTGCCAGGGCAGCCAAAGGAAATTCCACTTCAACTTCGCAAGAGTTAATAAGATATTTAACCCTACACATATTAGTAAATGTCAGTTTACTGCTTTTCTTACCAACTTTTATTTATAAAGCACCAACATAATCTACAATAGGCAGACTAATTACCAATTAGTTCTTTTAAGACAAGCTGGATGTATAGGAAGAGATTGAGCTGATGACCCTGCCCAAATCAGCAATTCACAAACAGCAGTCTTGCTTATTTCTATGGGGGAACCTGCATGTGCAGTGGAGCACCTCTTGTTTTCATTGTGGGCAATTGGGTATTGGTTCGAACTCTTGCAGAGATGCATCAAATTTCTACACGCGAGGACTTACTTAAAGGGAGAAGATGTGCAGAAGGTGACCCCCAGTTTTAGTGGATTCTCTAGATAATTCATTAAAAAACATGTACATAAATAAATATAAATCACAAAAGAAAAAAAATCCTATGTCTCTAATTAGTGTAAAGACAATCATAACAGCAGTTAAAATGCTAATGTTTAAGCGCTAAACTCACAACTTGGTTCTTTTGGACCAATTTAGAATTTCATTGTCAATTCTCTATAATTCCAAGTTCCACAGTGAAGAAACTTCTGCAAAGTCCTCTGTGCTGCACACATTTCCTACTTGTTCTAGATCTTACATATCTGGTGCAGGCCTGATAGTTCTTGTTTTGTTTCATTGCAGAAAATACTCTGTGTTTTTCTAGTGATGATAGCACAGTACATTCACTGAGTGGTGTATGGAGAGGAGATCCCCCCCCCCACCCTCTGCAATTCAAACAGAAAACTGTGCTCGTTGCCAGAATTCTTCTTTATATAGATGCACAGTACAGCTAAGCACACATAATTAGGATTTCCCTGTTCCGAACCAAGTTTTAAACTGAACATCCAGTATTAAGCCAATTAATTCAGGGACACAACTGAGCTTTAACAAGACATTTGGACCATGAAAGAAATACATTTGTGTCTATCTGTTTCATCTTTGCATAGTTGATCAGAAACAAAATCTCAATGGGTTTATTATTTGCAAAAAAAGATATCAATAGAAAATCCGACCAGCAGAAAATTATGGGAATTGTAGTTCAACAGATGGAGAGCCAAATTTAAACAAAAACTAGGAATTTCAAATTTTAAGGCACGATAACCTCATTAGTACACATTTGATTTGCTATTGGCTTGTCTATATACGGTTGTAGAAAGTGTAGTTTTTAAATGCTTTTGATATTATTATTATTGTATGAAGTTTGCTTAAATAGGCAGAAAAAAAAATTATTAACAAAATTACAAATTGGAAATATTTTACAATTTACTTTTCCAGCTGGGCCATTTTGACATAATATTTGACATTTCCTGCAAATTTTTGATGTAGAAATAGGCTGCAATTTGAAGTTTAGATTTAAGAAATAAATCCGAAAATTATTTGTAAATCAGGATCATAAAATAAAAAAAAAAATAGATGTGATCCCACAAACACAATACAAATAGAGTTGCCAACTTTTCGGGGAAAAAAAATACTTGCCATGCTAATTTGCATAATGATTTAAATAGGCATGACATCACAGGATGTTTCCTAACATCACAGGAAGTGACTTAAGAGGAATATTCCCTAACCATTGAATAACAACAACTGTGTCTGGTAGTGCATGTGTCATTATGTACACGTAGCAGTGTATACAGTATATATTTGTGTCAGTGCATGTATATTGTGTCTGAATGTGAGTGTAGTATAGCAATATGTGTATATTGTGTGTGAGTGTGTGTAGTATAGCAGTGTATGTATACTGTATCTGAGTGTGTGTAATATTGATGTGTGTTCATACTGTGTCTAAGTGTGTGTGTGTGGTATAGCAGTGTGTGTATACTGTGTCTGAGTGTGGGTGTAGTATAGTAGTGTATGTATACGGTATCTGAGTGTGTGTAATATAGATGTGTGTGTATACTGTGTCTAAGTGTGTGTGTGTGGTATAGCAGTGTGTGTATACTGTGTCTGAGTGTGGGTGTAGTATAGTAGTGTATGTATACGGTATCTGAGTGTGTGTAATATAGAAGTGTGTGTATACTGTGTCAAAGTGTGTGTGTAGTAAAGCAGTGTACATATACTGTCCAAGTGTGTGTGTGTAGTATAACAGTGTTTTGTATACTGTGTCTGAGTGTGTGTATAGTATAGCAGTGTTTGTATACTGTGTCTGAGTGTGTGTATAGTATAGCAGTGTGTGTAAAGTTCTGAGTGTGTGTAGTATAAAAGTGTGTGTGTATACTGAGTTTGACTGTGTGTTCATAGTGGTGTGTCATTGTGTGCATACTTTGCCTGAGTGTGTCTGTGTCAATGTGTATATACTATGTGTGTTGCAGTGTGTGTCGTATCTATTCTGTGTTTGAGTGTGTGTTTGTGTGTCATTGTGTGCAATATGTCTGAGTGTGTGTGTCATTGTGTGCATCCTATGTCTGAGTGTGTGTGTTATTGGGTGTATTCTGTGTCTTAGTTTGTGTGTATTCTATGTGTGGGTGTGGGGTGTGCCATTCTGTGTATTCTGTGTCTGAGTGGGGTGTGTGTCATTGTGTGTAATCTATGTCCGAGTAAGAGTGTGTGTCATTCTGTGTTTTCTATGTCTGAGTGTGTGTGCTATTGTGTGTATTCTGTGTCTTAGTGTGTGTGTCATTCTGTGTGTGTGACATTGTGTGTATTCTATGTCTGAGTGGGGTGTGTGACATTGTGTGTATTCTATGTCTGTGTGTGTTTGTGTGTGTGGGGGGTGTGTGACATTGTGTGTATTCTATGTCTGTGTGTGTGTGTGTGGGGGGGTTGACATTGTGTGTATTCTACGTCTGTGTGTGGGGGTGACATTGTGTGTTTATAGCAATATGTGTACCCACCCTGTGTAATTGAGGTTTATAGTCTGACTCTATTTCTCTTACCACTCTCGCAGAGTCCTATCAGAGAAGAATGCTGGCCTTTGCATTGCCTTTATTTTTTGCAATATCGCTCCAGTCAGAAAACCTCAAGTACCAGCTGTGCCGGTAAAATAGTGACCAAGTGACAACCCTAACCAGGTATAATAAAGGGCTGAAAACAGGTTAGGGCAGGCAGGTTAGCAGTCCGCCTTATCTGCTAATCACTGGGTGCTGTCACAATGTCTGCTCCCTCAGCTGAACAAACAGGTTTCCTTATAGTTATATTTCTCAATGGAAGGACTTAGGGGAGTGGCAGTTAGTTGGGGTTAAAGGAACACTCCAACCACCATAACCACTGTATCTCGCTGTAGTGGTTAGGATGTTCAGTGTGTGATAGTGCAGAGTATTTAGTGTGTGACAGTAATGGGAGCTCTGTATGTAACAATGCAGGGAGCCCTGTGTGTGACAGTAATGGGAGCTCTGTATATAACAGTGCAGGGAGCCCTGCGTGTGACAGTAATGGGAGCTCTGTATATAACAGTGCAGGGAGCCCTGTGTGTGACAGTAATGGAAGCTCTGCATGTAACAGTGCAGGGAGCCCTGTGTGTGGCAGTAATGGAAGCTCTGTATGTAACAGTGCAGGGAGCCCTGTGTGTGGCAGTAATGGAAGCTCTGTATGTAACAGTGCAGGGAGCCCTGTGTGTGACAGTAATAGGAACTCTGTATGTAACAGTGCAGGGAGCCCTGTGTGTGACAGTAATGGAAGCTCTGTATGTAACAGTGCAGGGAGCCCTGTGTGTGACAGTAATGGAATCTCTGTATATAACAGTGCAGGGAGCACTGTGTGTGACAATAATGGAGGCTCTGTATGTAACAGTGCAGGGAGCCCTGTGTGCTTGTGACAGTAATGGGAAGCTCTGCTTATACTTAACAGTGCAGGGAGCCTGGGAGGTGTGACAGTATTAGAAGTCCCTATGTGTGACTTAGTATTGGGAGCTCTGCATATAACAGTGTAGAGACCTGTGTGCTTGACAGTAATGGAAGCTCTATATTGTAACAGTGCTTAGGGAGCCCTGTGTGTGACAGTAATGGGAGCTCTGAATGTAATGGGGGTTCTGTATATAACAGTGCAGGGAGCCCTGTGTGTGACAATAATGGAAGCTCTGTATGTAACAGTACAGGGAGCCCTGTGTGTGACAGTAATGGGAGCTCTGTATATAACAGTGCAGGGAGCCCTGTGTGTGACAGTAATGGGGGTTCTGTATATAACAGTGCAGGGAGCCCTGTGCGTGACAGTAATGGAAGCTCTGTATGTAACAGTGCAGGGAGCCCTGTGTGTGGCAGTAATGGAAGCTCTGTATGTAACACTGCAGGGAGCCCTGTGTGCGACAGTAATAGGAACTCTGTATGTAACAGTGCAGGGAGCCCTGTGTGTGACAGTAATGGAAGCTCTGTATGTAACAGTGCAGGGAGCCCTGTGTGTGACAGTAATGGAATCTCTGTATATAACAGTGCAGGGAGCACTGTGTGTGACAATAATGGAGGCTCTGTATGTAACAGTGCAGTGAGCCCTGTGTGTGACAGTAATGGGAGCTCTGTATATAACAGTGCAGGGAGCCCTGAGTGTGACAGTAATGGGAGTCCTATGTGTGACAGTATTGGGAGCTCTGCATATAACAGTGTAGGGAGCCCTGTGTGTGACAGTAATGGAAGCTCTATGTGTAACAGTGTAGGGAGCCCTGTGTGTGACAGTAATGGGAGCTCTGAATGTAATGGGGGTTCTGTATATAACAGTGCAGGGAGCCCTGTGTGTGCCAATAATGGAAGCTCTGTATGTAACAGTACAGGGAGCCCTATGTGTGACAGTAATGGGAGCTCTGTATATAACAGTGCAGGGAGCCCTGCGTGTGACAGTAATGGGGGTTCTGTATATAACAGTGCAGGGAGCCCTGTGCGTGACAGTAATGGAAGCTCTGTATGTAACAGTGCAGGGAGCCCTGTGTGTGACAGTAATGGGAGCTCTGTATGTAACAGTGCAGGGAGCCCTGTGTGTGACAGTAGTGGAAGCTCTGTATGTAACAGTGCAGGGAGCCCTGTGTGTGACAGTAATGGAATCTCTGTATATAACAGTGCAGGGAGCCCTGTGTGTGACAGTAATGGGAGCTCTGTATATAACAGTGCAGGGAGCCCTGTGTGTGACAGTAATGGGAGCTCTGTATATAACAGTGCAGGGAGCTCTGTGTGTGACAGTAATAGGAGCTCTGTATATAACAGTGCAGGGAGACCTGTGTGTGACAGTAATAGGAGCTCTGTATATAACAGTGCAGGGAGCTGTGTGTGTGTGACAGTGTTGGATACATTGTTGTATTTGTGATAATACACTATGCATTGAGCAGTGTGTGTGCAGGGTATGGTGCACTGTCTGTCTGAGTGTGAATTAAGTGTATGACAACGTAAAGGATGATGTGCATTGAAGTCTTTGGCATTTTGTTATATATATAATCCCCCTTTTGTAAACAATTTCACATTTTGTGACACAATTAAGATATTTAAATTACTATTAAAGAATGTCTGAGGAAAGCCTCATTAATACATTGAGTGTTCTTATTGCTCCAGCTGTGAGTAGGTTGTGAAGTTGTCTATCCATCCAGTGTGTGAGATCAGACATTTTAGCTGTGACTGCCCATATTGAACAATCTGAATTGTTCTGTTCAGCACAGACAGGACTTCCTTTCACACTCACTGCACTGGGATGTGCCTGCACAGCTTGTAAACCATGGGGGACTTGGGAGATCACAGACGTTCTAACAGATTTTATAAGGTGTCAGGTTGTGGCCACTAGTGTCTTCAAGACAACTATTGACTGGAGTGCTTCCTGCAATATATCAGATCACCCATTAAAGCAGGACGAGTTCCTTGCTTCAATGCAGACATTCAGTACTGTGTGCTCCCACAGTAGTGGGATTTAACATGAATCACAGAGCCTGCAGTTCTCTAGGAAATACTGATTATAAGGGAGAATTTCTTGGAATACCGTGATTATTTTCTAAGAAAGTACATTCCTCAGAACATCTTCCAAAAGTGTTTCTTTGCTTCGCATTATAATGGAAATCTAAGTTTTTAATTTTTTATTTTGTTTTCTCTTAATCTTATGGAAGATGGGAAATTCGTATGCTGGTCAACTGAAGACAACTCGATTTGAAGAAGTTTTGCATAATTCCATTGAAGCATCTCTGAGGTCTAACACTTTGGTACCCCGACCCATCTTTTCTCAGCTGTATTTGGAAGCAGAGCAGCAACTGACGTCTTTGGATGGTGAGTCCCTCTCCAGTCTGTTTTAACTGAATTTTAACCTTTTGACGGATTAATCATTTCTGGCATTGTAGGCAGGGAAGATTTAGAAATGAGCTTAATTCACTAAAGTGCAAATTGTGGTGAATCTAGAGACAAATTTGAAAGTGGAGGTTAAAATAGCAGAGTTTTTGCACCAAATTAGCTATGTTAAAATCTTGGCTATTTTTAGTGTATATTTTGAAATTTGCTTCTCGATTTAATATAATTCTATCTTTTTTTTTTTTTAAACTAAATCAGTTTAGATATGTATTTTTTTTTCCTCCAAACAAATGCTTCTTTGAATCTGATACATAGATTTGATAGTAAAGTTTATAAAACATTATTTTTTATTACATGTGTTGAATACTTATGATACAAGCTCCTTACATGCCCACAATAATTGTGTTATATTATCTATACTAGTATTTTATAAAGACACTTAGCCCTTTGCCTTCTGGCTGTTTGAAGTGCCATTGGGAATAGTGCATTTCTAAAGGTTTGCCTGAATTTATTTTTCAAATTTACCTTCTATAGAATTTTGTTCTGAGTGAATCCAGTCAAAATTCTGTGTCTAATATATATAAGAATATTATATAGATTTTGCATGTGAGAAGCACTGATTTCTTAAGGCGACACTTGATGGTGCTAATTGAGATGTTCTCATTCAGTTGAAGTTACCGAATTGTAATTATATTAACTGGACTGAATTCACTCCTAAAGGATTAACCTGATAAAACAGAATTTTCAAGAATTCACCATGAAAATTCATATTTAAGGTTTAAATAACTGAGCAGCAAATATAATTGACATGAAATTTAAAAAAACGTATTGCGAATTTAATTAGCTGATTTGAAATAATTCCCTGTCTCACCTCACACGTTATATTAGCATTTTGCTAATCAGTTTTTAATTCATTACTGTTCGTTATTTAACGAATCTACCCAAGTAAGCAGTGTTTAACATGTAGATTAAATGCATACCTCCCAACTGTCCCTATTTAGGAGGGGCAGTCCCTATTTAGGGCCCAAATTCCTCTGTTCCTCTTTTTTATCCTAATGTCCCTCATTTCTAGGAGCTTGATACTGTTGGTGTGTCTGAGTGTATAAAAGAGCTCCACGGCTATAATACTCAACAGTATTTTGTCTTTAAACTAAAATAAATGTGTTT